CTGGGCTAATGAAGAATTCAGTCGATTGGAGACAGATCTTCAAGAAGGTGATGGGGTGGTTGCTTTGGTCTATGACCTGGACTGTGAGAACCAGAAGATTGAAGAGTTGACCTACGACCAAGAGGTATCTTGCCGGAAGATGGAGGCTCAGGCATCTCGAGTCGCGGAAGAAGAGGAGGAGGTCTTTCTACAAACCCGGACCGTGAGTCTTCAGGAGGTGCGGAAGTCTCTACACCTTTGGATTCCACCCCTTCAGACGGAGATTGACAACTTCGATAACAACCATGCCATCGAGCGAATTGATGAGGACACTACCCACAAGATCATGGAAGAGGCCCGAAAGAATGGTCAGAGGGCAGAGCTGATTCCTGGGATGGGTGTTTTCACAAGGAAAGCGGGGGATGGAAGTGTGCTGTGGAAACTACATGGAGGCCCGGGAGGGCGATGAGGTCTACGCCACGGGTGCTGACTCGACCCAATTGAGAACCATCCTCCGTCTGGCTGCCCTTCGTGAGTGGGAATGCTTGTCTCTGGATGTGAAATCAGCTTTTTTACTGGCTCCAAAGGCACAGGGTGAAACAGTCATCGTTCGACCACCCAAGATATTGGAGGAGGCAGGCTTGATGAAGCCTGGCGAACACTGGCTGGTCACATCAGCGATGTATGGCCTGGTCACTTCCCCAAAGGACTGGAGTTCTTTCCGAGACACTGAGCTGCAGAAGATGACGGGCATTGTCTCTGGCATGGGAGAAGGAGGAGAGCAACGAGAGATCAGCTTTTCCCTCAGGCCGATGGAAGATCCGAACCTGTGGGCCATCCAAGAGGTTGTCAGGGTGAAAGAGGACGGCTCGAAGGTCTGGGGGCAGATTCTTGGGCGTATGATTGTCTACGTAGATGATGTCCTTATGGTGGGTCCACGAGCTGTCACCGAAGCGACCTCGAAAACCATCAAGAAGGTGTGGTCTACTTCTGAGCCGGAGTATGCGGAGGTGGGTGGCACACCGATGAGGTTTCTGGGCATTGAGATCCAACGGTTGAAAGGAGGCTCCTACTTTTTGCAGCAGGAGTGCTATGCCAAGGAGGTCATGGACCGTCGCCCAGGGGAGCGCCTTCGCCGTTCATTCGGGTCCCAGAAGAAAGGCCTGATGATGAGGCGGTCTCCTTGCCCAAGGTCCGTGAAGCTCAGAAGATCACAGGGGAACTATTGTGGCTGTCTGGCAAAACACGTCCAGACATTTCCTGGGCGGTGATGAAGATGGCTCAGAATGCCATGAAGAAGCCAAGATGGACCATTGAGCTGGGAAGGGCTGTGGTGGCCTACTTGAGGTTCTCTCCATGCTTCGGCCTTCACTACACGATTGAGGTTCCCACGGACGTCGATCCAGACCTTCAGCGTTCGCGTCCAAGGCGTGCGGGCACACTTGAAGTGCTGGTTGACGCTTCTTTTTCTCCGGGTGATAGTCACAGTATATCCGGAACCATCATTTTGCTCGCAGGGTGCCCGGTGCAGTGGGAGAGTAGAAAGCAATCGTTGATGGCTCTTTCCACAGCCGAGTCTGAACTTACTGCTCTGGTCGAGGGTTTGCAGACAGGAAGATCGGTGAGGGCGTTGGTGCAGTTGCTTCTTTCCGAGGTAGAGGTTGAGCTCTTCAATGACAATCGAGCTGCAGTGGTGTTAGCTTCCGGTTCCGGAGGCGGCTGGAGAACACGCCATCTACGGATCCGAGCCCGATGCATTGCTGAAGCGTTGAAGCAGGGAGAGGTGACTTTGAATCACAGATGTGGATCACACTTGTGGGCAGATGCACTGACCAAGCCTCTCCCATCGCAATCGCTGAGCAGGTTCTGCCGGGGCGTATGGTTGGGAAGTTCCATCTTGAACTCGGAGGACCAGGGGGGAGCTCGAGAAATCCATGTGGTTGAGACCGATGCGAGCATCAAGGTGATGAAGTCGATTTCACTTTTGGCGGCGGGTGCAGCTTTGCTTCCAACTGTTCACGCTGCTGAGTCGTGTGAGATAAAGGAGACCAGGGGGGGCTCAGAAACTGGCATGTGGGCAGAACAAGGATGGCTTGTGATGTTGGCTGGTGTGCCTCCTCCATTTCATCAAGGATGTGGGGTGGGAAGCGGCAAAACGGCTCTGTGGAAAAAGGGAGCAGCTGAAAGTGAGGATCCTAGATGATCAAGCTGTGGTGCCTTCAAGAATGTCTTCGGGGGCGGCCGGTTGGGATTTGTCAGCTCTTTGTGCGGTGGAAGTCGCACCCGGTGATCGAAAGCTGGTTCCCTTGGGCTTGGCGCTGGAACTACCCTACGGCTGCTATGGCAGAATTGCTCCAAGGAGCTCACTAGCTGTGAGAGGCATCGATGTGGCAGGGGGTGTGATCGACTCCGACTATCGGGGAGAGGTGAAAGTCATCCTGGTTAACCATGGCCAAGAGGCGCTAAGGATTGATCCTGGTGACCGAATTGCACAGCTCATCCTGGAAAGATGTGCCAAAGTTGATCTTGTGACCACTACCGCTCTTGCCGGAACTCAGCGGGGTGATGGAGGATTTGGAAGCACTGGAGTAGCGGCAAGGCGAATCATGGGTGCTCCGAGTGATTTGCCTGGATCTTCGGCCACTGAAGCTTCTCGGGGAGGCGGAGGACAGGGGTCGGAAGCTGTGCAGGTCATGCCCACCCATGTGTTCTTCGAGGGGGGTCCACTTTGCTCGTTCAGGGGAGTCCATGGTGGAGTTTGTTCAAAGGCTGAGGCAGAATGATCTTCATGAATTTCAGTGGATGTTTCCTGATGTCTTGTTTGAGCACTTGCAACCTGATCGCCTCCATGGTTCATCGCGAACCTACCTCCGGGAGATTGGGCAGGGCACGATGCGGATTCAGGTCCACATGCATCCTGAATGGAGAAAGAAGCTTTATGACTCGGAAGCTTTTGCACCAGCTCCAGAAGATGGTCTCACAGGAGGCGTAGTTTCCTTGGGCTGGATGCAAAATGGAGGGATGTTTGCGAGAGTGGATAACCGCAGAGGGAGCAGATCCATGTGCTACCTCAAGGAAGCATGGAAAGGAGTGAGCCTCTTTTTCTCGTGGAACCGTCCACGAGGAGGAACCTAGCCAAGCCGAGAATGAAGTGACCTATGGTGACTTGCTGAGGGAGCCGGGAGTTTTTTGTGCAGTGTATTTTCCATGTGTGGTCTGCCCCATTCGAAGGGGAATGGTCGGGAGGCCAATTGAATGTTTGTGATGAATAGTTGGTGAACTTGGCTTAGCGTCATCCTATGGATTCAGTACAGAGGGCTTGAGCTTGGCAGCTTTTGAAGGGTGGGCACACATACCCCGGGCCTAACACGGTCAGGAGGGGGGAGCATTTTGTGTGCCACACCATGTTTACTTGAAGGTTCATGAGAAGAGATCATGATGAAGCATGGGCATTTTCACGAAGCCCTTTGTTTGCTTAGAAGTGAAAAGAGGTGAGGTAGCTTCTTTTGTGAAATTATAACGCAGTTGATGGGGTAGCTAGATTATTTTCAAGCTTTCCTCCATCCTGCTCGATTGAATTGTGGCCACAAGTCAATCAACCTATGGCGCGAGTCTTTAGATATTAATTTCAGAAATCCTGCGCAGGCCGGTACCCCTGGGCACCCCCCATGTGGCGTGTCGCTGGTGAGCAGGGTGAGTGGTGGTGTCATGTCACATGGTTGCGTCTAGTCTGTGGCGCAACGCGCTTTCCACCCAAGCCCGCGCCAAACCACCAGTGACTTTAGAGACGTAATTGCGAGGGTCTCGTACGAGACTTCCAAAAGTCACACGTCAAGTCTCCAAAACGAACGTTTTGCGCGAGACTTCCTCCCAAATCAGGTGTCGTGCAAAGCTATGAGGGCTTCGTGCGAGACCCTCCACTTCCTCCAAAAGTCACGAGCCAAGCCTCCAAAACAAGCTTAAGACTTCCTCCAACAATCCCGCGTCAAAGCGACGCTCAAAACTCCAGCCGCCGACCCGCCAGCCCCAATGGCACAGCGATACTCACCTCCACCAAACGTCACAACCTCGCGATTCCCACAAAAATTCAACCTCCAACGCGCACAAAGCACTGTGAAAAGTGACCACGTGACATCTTCATGCCTTCAGCAATTCGCAAAAACACAGCTTCGAGGCAAGAGCCAGAAATCCCAAAGGCACAGCGACGTCCAACACCTCCAAAACACACGCTGCGAATGCCAATCGCGATGGCATGCCTCACAAAACGCTGCGAGACATGTTTGCGCACTGTTTCACACGAACCGTTCACTTCTCCATCCATTGAAGAACTCTTCCAAACACTTTCCCCAACGTCAGAAATTTTCGACCCGCAGCGTACAGATCCGACAGAGCGGGGATACGAAACCACGAAACCACGCGAGGCGAACACAGGTTCGAACCGCAGACCCCTAGACTATAAACGGGAACCCTTGGCATCCCTTGGCTACACATTTTGGAAAAACACCACGAAGCGCCGGCTGCTATGGAACCAAACAGGACAGCTTATCGCTCACTCCCTGACATTTTGAGATGGGGGGTACCTTGATTAAATATTCCGGGTCATACCGTGAGTTCACAGAATATTTTTTCTGGAATAATTTTACAGGAATATTTATGGCTGGAGGTATGTGATACTGATACTGGAGACAAACCCCAGAATATTTTTTGTATGAAGAACATGTTGGAGGAGTGATGAAAGATGGGCAATCCTGAGAAGGCAGGTGGAACTAAACCCAGAATAATTATTTCAAAGAACTAGAACTAAACCCTGTTTGTGAGAAGGAGGGTGGAACTAAACCCAGAATAATTAAATAAAAAAACTAGAATTTTTCTGGAATATTAAATTCCTACAACTATTCCACTAACTGGTCAGTTCACAGAATATTTTTTCAGATATAGCTGGAAGTATATAGGAATATTTTAAAAATATTCTGCCAGGTCTCGACGTGGGTAGGTATCTAAGGCACCCGCCATATTTTGAGGCGCGATTGTGGAACTTCCTCTGTGGAGTGCTGGCAGTGTTGTGTTGTTGCTCCTGCTGCCCTCGGCCAAAGCGCCGTCGCCTTGTGCCTTTGCATTGGCAGCCTTCATTGGTTCCGCTCTGCGCTGTGCCCTGGGCAAAAACAACATACATGTTACATCATAGTATTGACATGGAAGACGTGATTCAATGAGCTTGACGAGGACAAAGCAAGAAACACACGTGGTCCACAAACCACTTATTCCAACCGTGGTCACGGCAGAATCTTTTGTTGGAATCATGTGCACCCTAGCAACAATATGAGAGGGTGTCAGAAACCGCATAATGGGTCTTTGGAATTACAACATGTTGATGCATTTTGATGATCCCTGCTTGAAATATGTTTTGTGCTTGAACTCACCCGCCCTCGGAAGTCAAACCGTCGCTTTGGACGTGCTGTTTTCGGTCGCTGGGAAAAAGAAACACATGTTCGACGGGCGATCAATTGCCATGGTCATGGTCAATCATTTCAGCTTGGCCAACCAGGTTTCAAGAAAATAGGTCATGTCTACCCTAGCGTGGAATATAGATTCCAGCAGGGTGAACACGGGTCGGAATAATTATTAGTAAATATGTAAAAAATAGCCAGCATTTCTACAACATATTCAATCTGCGGCGCCGACTGCACATATAGCTAAAGTGGCACCCATCAAGAAACAAAACCGACCTTGAATTTATCATGAACAAGGTGTCCCCGCAACCATATCGCGAATCCTATCCAGCTTAGGTTTTGGTGCTGCTGCTCACGGCTTGGAGTGTGTGCTACTATACGTTTTTCTTCTCATCTTCGATTTATATGAATCTGAGCAGCGAAGAAGAGATGTTTAAGAGAGTTGCTTGCTTCTGAAGCCTTGTTTGCCTCCGGTTCCCGCAAGGTATGAGGTCTCACGAACCGATACTCCTCAGTTGGAGACTGTGATTCCTCCAGATGAACGCGCTGAAGTCACTGCAGCCAACAGTGACGGTCCTCTTGAAGCCCGCTTGATTTTGGTGTAGCCTGGCTTTAGTGTTATTTAAGGCCCTGCGGCGCTGCGGTGCTGGTGGTAGGAGTCGTTAGTGTTGGTGTTGTTGTTGTTGTTGTGGTGGTGTCGGGCGTAGGGCGCCCGGGCAGCACCTAGAAAACTTTTGAGTCCTCCACCGCTCGAGGTGTGGCAGGGTTCGACGGCCGCCTCTCGCAGGCCAATGTTGCTGCTGAAAACTAGAGTCCTCCGGCCCTCCACTCGAGGTGTGGCGCGCAACCCATGTTGTTCTGCGCCCAAATGTTTGCCTGAGGGTAGCCTCCAAAGATGTCTCACTACCACGCTGCCTTGTAGATATATAATATAGTGTATTGGGCCTTGTAGATCCTTGCAATGCATACTGTGCGGCTCCTGAAGGAGGCTGTGTGTGGATTGCTGTTCTCGCTGCCTTGAGGCAAACCCTAACCACACCTGATCATTTCAGATTCTTTCATTCATTTACGACCTGTGTCTTTGTGGACGCCGGATGTTTCTTCCTGGGGAAGGTTTGTTTCTCCTTCACATTTGTCCATTTGAAGGTCATTGGTGAGCTTTCGAATCCTGAAGGTTTTGATTTCTTGACATGTTGAATCCTTGCGGGCTCGATGGAATAGTTATTGAATCCTTGTGGCTTCAAACAACGCCTCTGCTACAGAAATACATTAATTTCACGGATAATTTCACATAATTTCACCGACTTTAATCGCACCCTGCTCTACGTCATTCTCAGCACGATGATATTTTGAACCGCTACTTTTTTAGCCCACTACTGAACAATCTTTGCTGCATTTTGCTACACTTTCCGTAGGCCTTTGGTTTTGGTGATTTGGCCTTTGCCCTAGTACTTCACTATCCAAACCATGTCAGCGCGGGGCAACCGCGCGCCTCGTCGTCGCACATATCACGCTGATCATTTTCATCATCCACCTGGTACTTGGGAAGGGGCGTCTCCAAGAAGGTTCAGACCCCGATCCCGCGCCTTGAGGCATCCCTCAGCGCATCCCAACCCTCGACAATTGTGATTGTCGAATTTGTCGATATGGGTACGAACCAGTTTGCTGACTTTGCACTTGAGTGCATGAAGGCTTGGAAACCTGATGCTCTTGAGTGAGAGTATCTGGCATCAGTAACAACATTCGAAGCGAAACAGATTTAAAAAAAGCACATGTGCCATCGAATCAATGAACTTCGACAAGAACGGTGTGTCCTTTTGAGTTCTCCCTCACAGCGCCACTGGGAAGACGAAAGCTGGACCATGACACCAAAGTCACGTGAAACATGTGGAAGATTTTGGGAACTCTTCAGGTTCATCCCTCTTGCTCCCAACAATCCCGTGGAAATGGAAGGCAACCATCGAATACCTCACCTGTCCAGGGCGTCGCACGATGCATTGATGCATCAACCCGCCCAACCCAGCAAACCCTGGCTGAGGAACCCTAGCTTCCAGCATCACCGGTGTCACACAAACATCGTCCTCGTGGTTCTGGCTCTGGATCTCCAAGACATCACGCCTTGGAAGGTTTGAACATGATGGCTCGCACACCACAAGTGGTTCTACTGTCCAGGACTTTGCAGAATCTGTTCGTAAGCGTGTTGAGGTTGACATTGGCAAGCTCACAGCTCAAACCATTGAAATCTCGAAAGTGATCAAGTTCGCCCTCAAGATGAAACCAGGACAAGCCTTGGCAAGCCTCCCTGACATGTCTGCCACGGGCCATGGGTGATGTTTACCAAGCCATGCACTTTCGAGGTATACTTGCGACAATTCAATCGACCCCTCGAATCTGTGAGCAAAGCACCTCAATGATCTCTACCAGGCCCTCAATGACAACCGCGCCAAGGATGATGCACTTCCGACTCTGTTGGCTCGTCTGACATGATGAAGAGCCTGCGTGACTAGAGAACGAGGGTAGCGCTGCTGTCACACAGTTTGTCAGCGCTACATGCCCTCGCAATTTTGTATTTCTTAATGTTGAAATCCACCACCAACCGACACACAGGTCTGCAAATTTTGATGCGAGTTTCTGGAAAATGCTCCAGTCTAAGTCTGGCAGGCGCTCTAGATCTCTCATTTCCTGGCTTTGCTCTCACCCATGGGAACATGGTTGGGAGAAATAATGGTACAATTCTGTATATTTTGTCACTCTAATGTCTCCTGTGTTCGGCGCTTTTGGCCCTTTTGGCGTATGTCGGTGAAACTGATAACATGCACCGCCGGGCGAATGAACATGCAATCTACAAGCCATCCATGGAGCCACGCAACAACCCTTTTTTGAAATGATTCGCGCAGGCTCGATGCGCCCAGCGCTTTCCATGAATTCAAAGGATTGGCGTTTTGACTCCACCACGTGTATACCGCTTGCATGCCTATCCGCGTCCATCAGCAATTTAGACCGGTCAAGTGACTACGACTACGGCTTTGGCCTCACGAGGAGAAACCATCACATCCACCTCGACAGGAGCGAGCGAAGGACAAGCGGAGAAAAACGCAAATGCAACTGGTTGCTTCTGATTCTGCACTCGCTGGTCACAAGATTCCGCATGCAAGTGAGTATAAATGAGTACTGTCTTCAAGCCGCATCCTGCAGAATTGCCCTACTCGTTCCGACTTACTTCCACCAATTTTGCGCATCGACTGTCAGCTGCCCTGGACTGGTACCTTGCATGGTCGGCAGATCGCCCTCCAAGCAGTCCGCACACTGCTTCAACATTGGTGTGCTTAGGGACATTGGGTACCAGTACTCCGACACGCTCGGCTAGCTTTCAGCTGGCGCCGGACACCTTCTTTGTTTGATACTTTGAGTCCTGTCAAAGCAGTTATACCGACATTGTTGCGAACAGAGCCGCAGAGGATCGTTGTTACGCCATCTTTGTCAGATCTGATGAATGGTGGACAACCCCACCATTGATGGTGTGTGGCACATCGCCGCCCCACAGTCCCGCATTCCATCAGTGACTTGAGTCACTTTGCCAACACCCCTGCATGCATGCTGCATCACTATGCCTCCTTGACGTGCAGACATCTTCGCAGCATTGCGCGAGTCTTTAAGTAAATTGCGAATAATTGCGATCTCGTTGCAGGATGCATGATTTTGACATGTTTTTCGAGGACATCACGGCTGAGACCTGCCAAGAACTGCCGACCCTTCTGGATAAGCGCAGCAACAGCCACCCCGTTGAGTGGAGCGAAATCACACGAGCAAAAGGATTCCTGCAGGGGTTGTATGCACAACATGTTGACCACGACAACTCTTCAACTACTGGAGCTTTTTGTCCCGCTCTAGTTCAGCAATTTGCTCACAAACTTCTGGATTTGGGGGTTCATGCAACAGGCACGAAATTTACTTGGACTATCTTGGACTATATTACGGAGGAGGACAGCTCCACAGTCAAGCAGATCATTCAACGTCGTTCAACAGTTGGCTTCGGCCACATCATTGCCTCTCGACCTGAGACCGGTTTCCATGAGTTGCAAGTAAGCCAAGGAATGGGCACTGGACATGCCACGCCTCCTGCCCAAGTGGAGAGGTCCAGGAGTGAAGCGGCGACTCGTAATTGACAAATGCCGCACTCCAACGAACCGCATCCATAGTCTGGCATGCAGAGCCATCGACGCTACTCTATGCCGAGACCTTGGTGGTCGGACTGCAATGTGGTGACCTTGAGCAACAATTTCAATGATCATTTTTGAGCGCTCTTTGCCAACAACTTTGATTGTCTCACTGCATCCGCCGACATGCAGGATTGTTTTTACCATTTAGCCCGTGGGCTTGCCCCTGGCATCTGGAGGAATTTAATCGCCTATTGGAATTCCTATGGGACTTCGTATGTGAGCATTCCGTTTCGGACTGCGTCTGTTCCATGCCCATTTTCGTACGTCGTCCCTGCTGAGACTGGAGGTCAAAGACCAAGTGCAAAAAAGCCGAGTGTCGTCACGGAAGGCACATCAAAGACGAGCAACTCCTCACCTTGAAGTGAAGCACGCTTAGAGGTTCCTCCATCCAGCGGGGTTAGAGTAGTGCGGCCGGGGGTCAACACTTCATGGGAGTGTTTGAACAGCTGCAAGATGGCAGAAGACATGGCATCGCCCATGGGTGCTCTGTTCCTCACGACCGATGAACCCAGGTAAAAGGACATAGTTGGCGGCGGTAAGGAAATTCTCTAGGATGCGTCCCACATCGTCGAAGGACAACGCAATACCCAGGTAGGTCATTTTTGCCATCCTTGAAGCCCCATATCTTACGAACGCCGTGAATATTGAAGATTCCGACGTTGACAGTTTCTTGGGACTCGTAAGTCGACTTGGGAACCAATCGGTCTGTCATTGTCGCCTTCATTTCCTGACCCTTGGACAGCGGTTGTATAGAGATCCCACAATGCCCCGGTCATAAAACCCTGGCATAGTTGGGCTCCAGGCGCTCAGAAGAAGGCTGTCATTTTTGGTTTTTTGTGCCGCTGCTACCAGTCGAACAACTCTGCTGTCTGTAGCACCGCGGTTTTGAAGCCGGGCCATACTGCTTCTAATTTATCGGGCAAATTCTTCCTCCGGAGTAGTTTACTCCTGCGTCCGCAAGTGGGCCAAAACATGGAAGCCCCATGGGTCCTTGGAACATCCCGGAGGGCCCCTAGTTCAATCTGCACTCAAACAGGCTCATCAGTTTGAAAAATGCGTGTTCGCCAAAGATGTCTCACTAGCACGATGCCTTGTAGATACTAAGTCGTATATAGTGTATTGGGTTTTTAGCTTGCAGTGCATTCCGTGCTGCTCCTAACATGTTCATCCTGTCCCACCTTCACCGCCTGCACATTTCGCCCCCAGCACTTTAATTAACCTTCCAATGATACCTGCGCCCGGGCTCACACACACAGTGCAGGTGGAGGAAACTGTGTGTGGAGTGCTGTTTTCGTTGCCTTGAGGCACTTTTTAATCGCATCTAATCATTTCAGATTGTATGATTCAGACACCGTCATGCTATTCCCACTGCCCTTGCGAGCCTCACCTTCTTCTGGCGCCCTACCCCTTCCTCGGCTGGGGTAGGCGGATTTTGTGCCCAACACCAATGTTCAGTTGTGTGTGGTTTTTGACTAAGGCCAGAAATGCAGAGATATTTGCTGCTTCTAGTGCTGAGTTGGTTGATGAACTTTCTCATCGTTGAGCCATTGCTTTTGGTGCTGCATTTGTTCGTGGGTGAGCCAGCTGTTGCTGACGCTTGGGTGATTGGATTGTTGAATACCTAAAGGCATTGAATCTGTTACGAGTTGAGATTAATAATGATTGTTTGGCCTTAGAGGAATGTTGCATCAGTTGGTTGGCAGTGCTTGTGGTTAGTACTGTATGTTCTTGCACATTCTTGCACAACTTGCATGAACCGTACTTTGGTCTTGCTTGAGATGACATGTTCCCAGGACGTGGCTGGTTTTACATGGAACGTGCTGAGCGTGCCAGTTAGATGGTTCTGGTGGCTCTTCGGTTCCTCGTCCACGTTAGGCGTTTATGGTCAAGTCAACACCATTGAAGGCGCGTACAACGAATCCAAGGGTCAGCTCTCACATGCTCTCACATATGTTTTCATTCGTCGTCAAAAGCGTTGCCAAGGTTTGTGCTTCCCTCAGCAATGCCAGCACCAGGCTGGAAACCCGTCCTTGATGTACGAGCTCCGTGAAGGGGCAGTTCCACGGAGTTTCTTCCACATGATTCCACATGTTGTTTCTTGCAGTCTTTCAGTTTCCCTTCACGCGCTTTGTGCAAAAGGCTTGGCGCTTCGGGAAGGAGGTGACCGATGCACTACAGTTTCGAACTGAGTGATTGGTGAGTTGTGCATTCCAGTTGCGAACTGCCGGCACATCAAGACCTGCTAACTAATTGTGTTTTAAAGCCGGTGGAGTCTTATCTCCGGAATCTTCACTCTCCTTGATTCTTCGGTCCTTCTTCTTTCGCAGGAGGTGTACAAATTCCATCGGTCTCGCAGTTGCATCTTGGACAACTGACAATTGTTTTCTGAGTCGCAAGCCTCGGTGCGCTTCGCGAACTTTGTTTTGGAAAGTGTGCAGATTCGAGAAGCTAGCAGGGCTAGCTAACCGTGAAGCTAGCAGGGCTAGCAATGGCTAGCAGTTCTGCTTTCTGCGACTCAGGCAAAGCTGAAGGATAGGTGCACTTGTTGCAGATCCAGTGCTGTGGTGCCTCGTATAAGGTGTCCATGTGCTTCCGTGTGAAGACTGAGGTATTATTGTTTTGTGCCATGCAGCCCACGAAACGATAGAGGTGCCACATGCAAGCCTATCTCTCCGAGGCACCACTGTCGCCGGAAGACCTACAAGAAACCATCGAATCAGAAGGTGAAGAAGAGCGAGCAGGGCCAAAGGAAGGGAAGGAAGAGAAGGCTGCAGAACTTTGACACTCTGTTGCACTTAAGCGTGTTCAGCATGTGGCCACACGTGAGGAAATGCATCAGAAAAAAAGTGCGAAGAAGAGGAGTGTGTGTGTGTGTGTATTTGCACTGTGGTGAGATATGGCTGAAAGCAACGGTCCACTGACTGCAGGAGACCAAAGTCTTGATTTGTCCGCACATGGGCGTGAGACTGGTGCGTCACAAGCCTGTTTTGAGTGATTACAGTAATCCTTAAAACTATGTAACTATGTTGTTTGAAATTCAAGTGCTTTATATACTGTACAAAACTCTGTTCAATGTTCAACATGTTCTTGACAACCTGGCAACACGGCTCTTGTCCGTTGTCCATTTTTGTACGGCATCAACAGGCCAAAGTTTAAGACCAATAACAAACCCATGTTCGGACCTTTGATTTGCCCAAGTTTCACGAGTCTCAGAGTTCAGGCAAAGTCTGAATTCATCCGCAAAGCGGGGAGATCTCATAGTAGAGCCAAAGATACTCAATCAATACAGAAACAAAAGGAGAACTTGATTCGGTGCTGTTTCCATACCGGCTAGATAGTATGTTTAGACTGTCAAAGAATCAATGCCACAAAAAGAGGACAGCAAAGTCTCAAGGGATCATTGTTCAATGCACTTTGATGTTTTGCCAGATGCGACTAGATGTGTATGAGGTTTTAGCATCACAAGAAGTTTTTACAAGTTTCAGGCAAGTTACACAGCTACACATAGAACTCAGGTCCAATCAGGTTTATAGATGCGTTCACAGCGCTGGTGCGTTGGGTGATACATTTGCACACACACACACAGCATGGGTAGAGAACGGGTGTAGAAAGCAGAGAGTCAACCTTGGCATCAACCCCACCTTCCTGGCTCACACAAACTTGAGTCACAGAACGTCTTGTCTCATATACAAGATCAGATCTATAAAAAGTACATACTCCAGTCATCTAGGCTATCAGCCTTTTCGTATATTGCCTCAAGTTGCCTCAGTTTGCAGTGAGCGAATTTCATCTCTCAGACCTGGCCCAGTTCATGGCTAGGACCCAGCCTGCCGCCTAATTGAAATGATTCAATGGGGTGTTGTCGCGTTCGATTTGGAGTCTGGCCAAGGTCATTGACGCGTCTGGAGGATGGTAGGCAAGGTAAAGATGTCGGTAGAAGATGACCAACGTCATGGTCGTTTTAATTGAAACGTCTAGTATATCAGGCATTTGAGATCGCTCCGAACGGCAAGCTGTGGAGCCCTACCACGCCAAGGGCTTGGCTGATCTTGTAGTGTTATATACAGTGCTTTAGGCAATTCTAGTAGCGATGCCCTTCTTACTAGTAGCGATGCCAGGAGATACTAGTAGCTTCTTGCTACTACTAGCAATGGCCTCCAACCTAATAGCGATGGCCTCCACAAAAAGACTACCGCAAGATAGCGTAAGACTTCGTAAGGCTTAAGACTCACCTGTGAATGCAAGGCAAGCGAGATCTTGGGAAGCGACCTGACCATGGCATATGGCCAGTAGGTTCACAAGGACAACTCAGAATGCTGAAGCTTAGTTGGAGCTCTTTCTGCAAAAGCATGAACTATGACAGACTAGCAACAACCAGCGAATCCGGAACAGAAGTGCCTTGAGATGTCGCTTCATTATGTCGTCTTGTTGTTCTTGGATTCTGGGATGTTGCATGAACTTTTTTCCATGACAGTATGGACACACTGCAAGAGATAATGCTGGGTTTGATCCAGTGTGCTCACATCCGTGGAAGTGCATTTCGACTGGAGGCTCAAGCAAACTGCCTCTCCGGAGCCGGCGCTTTCCTCCACTGCGCTCTGGTCGTGGTGCCGTGCACATTTTCGGGCTTGGTGGTCACTTTTCGTGGCAGGCGCAAGGGAACCCTCGTGTTTTGGTGGTCTGAAGTTGACTTCTCGTGGCAAGCGCAAGAGATCAGAGCCACTTTACTTTGATGTGCAGATTCATGGTAGTAGTCCTTGGTGTGTTCTGGCTTCGTGTGCAGTGAACAGTAAATTTTTGGACATGTGGCTCGTTTCTGGGCTTCTGTGCGAAAGCCTTTTTTTGGACGCTCGAATGGTTTTTCCCGAAAGCATTGCGAAGGGTTCTTCCGGAAAGTCCCTTGAACACTGACACTTCGACACTTACACTTAGACACTGACACTTCCACCACATTCGCAGTACATACACTGACACTTCGACATGGACACTTACACATACACAGTGACACTCGGCAAGCACGCAGTGTAAGTATACAAGTGATGGGTACGCAAGCATGCTTTGAGCATGCAAGCATGCAATGAGTAGGCAAGTGTGAGTATGGAAAACTAGCACGGGAGATGTCCTAATGAAAAAACATTTCCCCACTTTATAAATTCTCTCTTAAAGGCGGAGGGCGGGACGAACAGCGTCAACCGAAAGTGCAACCCTCTGCGGAGATCGTGCGTGTCGAGTGCGCGAAATGCAGGCGAGAGTGCGATATGCCGGCTGCGCGCGCAACCCTCTGCGGAGATCGTGCGTGTCGAGTGCGCGAAATGCAGGCGAGAGTGCGATGTGCCGGGTGCCCGCGCAACCCTCTGCGGAGATCGTGCGTGTCGAGTGCGCGAAACGCAGGCGAGAGTGCGATTTGCCGGCTGCCCGCGCAACCCTTTGCGGAGATCGTGCGTGTCGAGTGCGCGAAATGCAGGCGAGAGTGCGATTTGCCGGCTGTCCGCGCGGAGATCGTGCGTGTCGAGGGCGCGAAATGCAGACGAGAGTGCGATTTGTCCGGTCCGCGCGCAACCCTCTGCGGAGATCGTGCGTGTCGAGCGCGCGAAACGCAGGCGAGAGTGCGATTTGGTACGCAACTCTAGTACGCAGAGTAGCTGGGGAGCTGGAAGCTGAGAACTGGCGACGTGGTTGTGCGAGAGTAGTACGCGGAGTAGCTGGGGAGCGGGAAGATGAGAACTGGCTGGAGTATCTGGGGAGCTGGGAGTACGCGGAGTAGCTGGGGAGCTGGAAGCTGAGAACTGGTGACTTTGTAGTACAACTTTAGTACGCGGAGTATCTGGGGAGCTGGAAGCTGAGAACTGGTGACTTTGTAGTACAACTTTAGTACGCGGAGTATCTGGGGAGCTGGAAGATGAGAACTGGCGACTTTGTAGTACAACTTTAGTACGCGGAGTATCTGGGGAGCTGGAAGCTGAGAACTGGCGACTTTGTAGTACAACTTTAGTACGCGGAGTATCTGCGGAGCTGGAAGATGAGAACTGGCGACTTTGTAGTACAACTTTAGTACGCGGAGTATCTGGGGAGCTGGAAGATGAGAACTGGCGACTTTGTGGTACAACTTTATTTAGTACACGGAGCAATCTGTGGAGCTGGAAGCTGAGAACTGGCGACTTTGTAGTACAACTTTAGTACGCGGAGTATCTGGGGAGCTGGAAGCTGAGAACTGGCGACTTTGTCGTGCAACTTTAGTACGCGGAGTATCTGGGGAGCTGGAAGATGAGAACTGGCGACTTTGTAGTACAACTTTAGTACGCGGAGTAATCTGTGGAGCTGGAAGCTGGGAAGTGGCGACTTGGTAGTACAACTTGAGCACGCGGAGTCTCTGGGGAGCTGGAAGATGAGAACTGGCAACTTTCTAGTACAACTTTAGTACACGGAGCAATCTGTGGAGCTGGAAGCTGGGAACTGGCGACTTTGTAATACAACTTTAGTACGCAGAGTATCTGGGGAGCTGGAGGATGAGAACTGGCGAAGTTGTCGTACAACTTTAGTACGCGGAGTATATGGGGAGCTGGAAGATGAGAACTGGTGACTTTGTAGTACAACTGTAGTACGTGGAGCAGTCTGTGGAGCTGGA